CCCAGAAAATGTACATAATTTAAGCCTTAGTTTACATTTTAAACAGTTTAAAAGTGGAAAAGTAAAAAGAAGAAAAAACAAACATTTGCAAAAAAAGTGAAAAAGATAAAAACACCAACAGAATGCCTATTATTTTCAGACGCATTAAAACAGGTACAGGCATTGGTGGAAATCACTGCTCAGGCTCTTGAAAACAGTCAGTGACTACACTTCAATGCTCCATCCCCAAAATGCAAGTTGAAACCATGCATTCATCATGCAAATATATACTCTGTGTGCTACATGCAACACACAGAGTGAGAGACAACCAGTCACACTATTTACATTATTAATAATCCATACTCTAAATGTTTGGGTTAAAGAAGCACAAAGATCAAAAGTTGACTAAAGCATAAAGTCACAGTACATTTTTGTATGATGACGTTCGTCATCCCGGCAGCTTTTACACAATATATATTTGACTCAACATTGTTATTAAAACTTTTAGATTGGGCATTATCTTGTGTATTACTGTGTAATAATACTGTTGCACAACTAAAGAGGGTGAAAGAGGCAGACAGTGAAAACTGTATCATACCTGGTCCTTGAGCAAATACCGAATAACTTCTGTGTTTCCTGTGGATGCAGCCAGGTGAAGGGGAGTCACCTGGTACATGTCTGTGTCTGTGAATCTAAACATTCCTGTCTCCCACAAATAGTGCACTGCAATGCTGGGAAAAACAACTAACAGTTAGTGCATGCATAATACAGTACTTTGCAAAAGTCACCCCACATTTCTTTATACTTTCCTTCCAAGAAGCCAGACTTTCTTCTCATTTTTATAAATGTCTTGAGCAATAGTTCTCCAGGCTTTCTGGAGGGTTTTTGTTTTTGTTTTAATTGAATTTTGGCTGCTTTTGCACTCATTTTCTGTTCAGGACATACAGGAATGTTCTGTCTGTTAACCCCCTTAACGCTGACCTGGACTAAAAATCAGTCCAATAGTTTTTTGGGGTTTTTTTTGGAGTGATCAATGCAAATTTGGAAATGTTGGTTCTATCTATTTATGTTCAAATCAGTATACATACAGTGAGTGTCTACAGCCATCTGTAAAACTGGCAGAGGCTCTTTCATGGCATGGGACTGCATTTCAGCCAGTGGTGCTGGGAATCGTGTAAAAAATTATGAATGCAGAAAAGTACGGTAGGATTTTCATCCACCATGCAATACCATCTGGACAGTAACTGACTGTCAACAGCTTCTTTTGTCATTGTGACAATGATCCCAAACACCCTGCCAGTGTAGTAAAAGCATACCTGGATAGAAACACATATAGTAAAAGACTATCAGTGGACTGGGTTCACCAAAGCCCGGACCTTCTTATTAAAGCGGTGTGGAATTATTTTGACAGAAAATGGGAGTAAAGGCAGACAAGATTTAAGGAAGAGCTTTGAATGTCCTTCAAGAAGCCTGAAGAACAATTCCTGAAGTCATCTTAAAGAAATTCAGTTCAGGCTGTGTTGAAGAATAAAGGAGATCTTAATGACTTTGAAACTTATTAGAACTGTACATCCTCTATGTCAACCTTATATACTGTATTTCTATTTCTATTTATGTTTATACATATATCAATAGATCACTGCACCTATTTCCCATTCTTATAGCAAAATATAAAGAAATTAGGAGTGGTTCAGGGCTTTTGCATAGCACTGTATATATAACTGTGTAGTAGCCCATGGCAAAAACGACTAAGTTTGTGATACAATGTTTCATCCACTTACATGCTCCCCCCAGTGACCGCATGGTGCAGTGATGTTTTTCCCTGTAGGTCTATGAGATGTAAATCGGCCCCATACTGCATCATTTGATGTATGATGTAGATGTTCCCTTGCCTGATAGTAGTACAAAGTGCACAAGCTCAAATCAAGCTCTCACCTTGAAAATCCAGGCTTTAACTAAATATGCAGCTGCTGCTCACCTGCAGGCAAAATGAAAAGCTGTCTGTCCTGCATCACATGTCAGGTTAGGACCAGCTCCTGCACTAAGGAAAAGGTCGACCAAGGCTCGGTTACCATGCAGAGCAGCATAGTGGAGTGGGGTAAAGCCACCCCAACCTGAATGATGAGAAACGCATTTACATTACACAATCAAGCTTGATGACACTGACCTTCAACTCTGACTTTGACTAACAATATGAGACTGGCATAAATGCATCGACTGTCAGCCTGTTGACGCTGAAAGCCCTCTCAAGTTTGGGGGTTGGAGTAGTTCAGCACAATGTGACTTTGTGCTGTGTTGTCACTGGATCTGTCCATCTCTTCATCACAGGATCTGTGCCAGACCATCTCACAGAAGAGCTGCAGCAGAGTTAGGTTTCTTTTTGGCATTGTGGCAAAATCAAACCAAGAGAGACCAGAAAATGATCAAATATACAATAACATCCGGTAAAACTATAGTTAACTCCCAAACACATTTGCACATTATTCCAAAGTTCTAAAGCCAGGCATGGCAAACAGCATAAAGTGGGTATAAACGTTCTCTTTCTAACTAATGTTTCAGCAGTTTTCTCGCAATAAAATGAGGAAATTGAGAAATCCCGTCGCGATCAGGTTGAATAATGACCTTTAAAAAAAAGCCAGATCTGAAGTTTGCACTGTATCTCTTCCTAGCTTACCTTTTTGCTTGAGTATAGATCGGTTACTCTGAACGAAGTGTATACACTCTTCAATATTTCCTCTCTGTATACAATCAAATATGTCTCCACCGCTGACGGAGGACACGGGCATCGGATGCATTATGATGGGTACACGGAGGCCACCTTCTAGTGTTACCACCGACAGAAACTGCAAAGGAAGCAAAATCAACTCCTGGGAAGCGGCGCTACAACATCATAAGGTAAAGTGAGAAGGGATCTCATGTATCGCTACAAAGCAACCGACATCTTTCATTGTGTCAAACTGATTGAGGCAATCCACGCCCTGGACACCGCATTGGTTGCAAGGTGTCACGTGGCCGCGCTTTGCCCAAAGCACGTGGTCGCTATAAATACCATGACGCCTCCAAAGTAAGCAGTAGCGCTGTGCTGTGCCGCGATACCAACTATTACTAATACCAGTACCAATACTTTAAAACCATAATGACAGCTTATGTGGGGGAAGCAGAATGTCGTTTTGAAAATAAAACATAGATGATCCTATTTCACGATTTCTTAAAAAATAAATAAAAATAACAGTCAAAGTAGCCATTCATTTTTCCTGACTCTTTGAATACCCCCCTTCCTAATTATCTCCCTTCATCTATTTTCTTGTGTTAATTTAGTCTTTCTCCATCTCTTCCTCACTTCTCCACAGATGGTGCATCAGGATCAGTTGTTGCTGGTACTACTGTTCATGGTGCAGCAGCCCAGATAGTTAACATGTTGGTTAATTTGACACATTGGGCTGCATTTCTTTTTCTTTTTCTTTTCATTGTTTTATCTCAGCTTTCCATCTTTTACCCACTTCTTCCACACTGAACCTTTTCTACAAGCTGCATGAGCGTGCAGCAAAGGTAGAGGAGGGAATGGGCTGTAAGTGCTTGTATCCACTGGGTCGCTCTTCAGGCCGGCCCATCGGCCGAAAAGTGCATCGGCCTATTGGGAAAATGCCCTGTATACCAGAGTACCTGACGTAGAGGATAGAAACAACATATTGATCCGATCGCAATGCCAGTGTTGGTATCGATATTGTCGATATTTGGATGGCCCCGCCCACCTCTAGTAAACTGAAAGTGGCCTGGGGAACTTACCAGAATAGTGTAAAAGAAATGCAAACACCACGGTCATTTAATGGAAGTGTAAGGCATATACTGAAGGAAAAGAGAGCATGCCTTTTTTATTACTTGCCCCTTGCATTTAGTTGTGTAAGATTATGTAAGAATAGCATGGTTTAACCTATAGTGCTCAGGAGGTGAGCTTGTTGGAGTCGAAGGCTAAAATAAGAGTCCAGCTTTTTAACTTCAGAAGGAGCTCGTCAGTTACACATGTCATCAGCTTACAAAGGTTGGTTAACACTTCTCGTTTTGAAAGTGGTTACTATATGACAGCTTGACCCTACAAAAGAGAGGGCAACTTTGACTGGGGAGCTGACTCATATGTGTGAAAACGTATGTGTGATTTCCATAGCCACACTGTTATCTTTACTCTTTAATTTGCATTCGCTAATTCTGGAACCCTCTTTAAGTGCAGGCATTTTCACTTGTGATACTTAATCTCAGTACTAATACTGAGCTATGCGGAAGGACATTGCTAAGCCATTTTCTTTGCTACATCAGCGTCTCTGCTCTCTTTACTGAAAAACACCGGTTCACTTAACTTATCAAGCTTGAAAGTCTGTGTAATTTTGAGCCTTTTCTTTTACTCCCAACTGCTGTTGATGACACGTTTCTGTATCGTCAATACTCACAAGATGGCGCCGTTTAGTCATTTAGCTAAACACTTCACAAGTGCCGCACACGTCTGTGTGCAGAGTTTCTGCTGTGGTTATTGGCTTTAATTCACATTCACGAATTGTGGTGTGTTCTGCAACGTTGCTAAAGGCTAGTTTCTGTATTTAAAATACTACTTTAGCATATAAATACATCAACTGTCAACTTGCATGGGTTGCTCTTCTCATAGGTTGGTTTTGAAAAGTCCTTCCTAAACACAAACAGTCCAGCCATTCTATTTATTACCAGCAAACAAACAAAAAGCACTTTGTTTCCAATTGTTTCACCAGCAAGTCAATTCCTTCACGCCAATTCGTGACTAAAAGCCAGGTTTGTGGCTTTTGTTGGTGAGTCATGGGCCATGCCACTGTGATTAAATATCACAACAACCTTACAAGACCGGTCTATAAAAAGAAAAGGGACGTTTCTTTGAGCTGCAGTGGGAGGGCCTCATCTAGCCAGCTAAACAACTGTTATTTCACTTCTGCTTCTCTAAGGAAGTGGGAAAGCACATGACTCGCACCAGCTGATTTGAGTTGCTCAAAGTTCAGTCTACTTGGTGGAGATTAGTAAGAGGCGGGTACTTTTACAAAGGGGGCTGCAATGTATGCACTAGTCATGTCTTAGCAGGTTTCTTCTTGTCCATTCCTCCTGACATGGGAACAGAAACAGACCACTCAAGTAGTTGGAATAACACAGCACAGATGACAACATCACCTTAGTGCCAGGAAAACCCCAGATGGCTCTTACACAAACTCAGGTAAAGAATGATCTGTTGCATCTAAGTATTCATGAATTTTGTGGGAAATATGAATAATGTGTTGGCTTTAAGTTAAGCCCTCTGATTCTTACCACCATTGTTCGTTATGAGTACGTGATTCAAAATGGAAAGTAGTCGAAATAGAGCGACTATAATATGGAAACGACACTCTGGCTACAATTGCCATGCAGTACAATGGCATGAATGTTTAGCAGTAAAACTCCTCACCTCCTGATATGCTGTTAAGCAGAAGTGAAACACATTGCCTCGCAGTATTTAAATAAAGGGCTTATTCAGAGTCACTTACTCCCAACAATGTTGTCCTATTATAAGGATAACAAGCTTTTGATTTTGGAAGTGCAGTTGTATTGAATTGACTTAGGAGTGCTTATTGTGTCATTTTCACACGAGCGATAACTGGTGCTGGTCATTTAACACTACACTACCGGCCTATTCTTACCAAAAGATCAGTCTTATTTTTTTGACAAAGCAATGGTGCGTGTGAAGCTTGAAAAGTATCACACAGTAGCTCTCAAAGTACTGAAAGTTGGACATCCTTTGTAAAATGCAGACCCTTCATAAAGATGGTAATCAGTAAATGAGAATGGCACATGACTGCCAGTGGTTTGTCCTTCTGCCTATTTCTGAATTGAGACAATGTGACCAGGGTTGACGGCAGAAGGTTTAGCTTGGGACAAATTAAACTGAGTGACACAAGTGAAGAAAATGTGATTAGATAATATTGTGAAGATTATATAACCTTGCTGTAGCTAAAAAGAAAAAAAAAAAAAAAGATGGAACTGTCATATTTTTTTTTTTCTTACCCCCTTCAGGAGCAAACCTTTAGAGGGGAGAGGATCAATAAGGAAACTGGAGAGCTGAGTGCTTCGGGAGAGTTAACAGTCTCTGTGGAGTTGAAGTCAGAGAAAGTGGAGGGCTCTTGTAGCAACCCTCAACTCACACAAGTGCTCAAAGAACAACTGCAGGAGCTGAGAATTCAAACAGCCTGTACCCCTGACCACAGAGCTGTTACTCTGGAGCAAAGAAAGGACCATCTGCGGAAAGTCCTGCCTCTATACATACAGGTATAGACCACTATAAGCAAATAAGTGCATACTTGCCACGGATTGTTCTTCTGTTTATTGTTTTCAGAATTATGTCTTGCACCTCAGTAGTCTACCAAGCATGTTATGTATTTCTGAATATTGTATAACACAGAACAAATTTTCTTCTTGAGAGCCTTTATTAGATTATGTCATTCCAGTTTGCAGTGGGGCCTAAGTTCAAATTTATAATCAACTTTAAAATGGGTAAGTAGATTGCTGGAGACAGTGTGGCATCTGGAAATGCTTCAAACCACAGGAATGAAGACTTAAAGCAACATTAGATGACAGTCAGATGTTTCAACCTTAGGTGATCTTATCACTGAGTGGTTCCAGAACTATTGTGTATGTTGTTCCTGTATCTTTAGATAATAATAAAAAAAACAAAAACTCCTTTAAATTGTGGCTTCATGCCTTACTTTGATTAACTGGTGAAAGAGGTTTTTCTGTTTTTTCCTCTCTCGATGCATCCCAGTTATGAGGAACCCTTACTGTTTTTTGTAACACTTGCATGCACTGTTTCACCACTGTGCTCTTACAAATGCAGACATAATTAGTCTCCATACAACCACACGGAACCTGATGGCTGTGTGTGGTTGTATGTGAAAACCTCACAACCTCATAAGTCCATCTTTAGCAAACTAAGTAAAATCTGATATTTTCTCATGGAACTGAAGACTGTATAGTGTGTGGTACCTTTCATTATTTATAGTATAAAACAGCGGTCTAAATGTAATATTTTACTTAACTTAATGCCAAGTACTTAGTTAAGTAAAATATTAGTTATCTTAATGTCAAGCTGACGAGATTGTCTACTGAGAGGCAAAAATCGGTTGCATTTTAACTTACTCTTACACTCAGTTTCAAAGTAATTCGCAGAGAGAACTCTTACTAATTAAATTAGTTACATCAAACATGTTGATAGGACATCAAATCCAAATCAATATTTCTGTTCTCAGTTTTTACTTAAAGGTTTTCAGAGAGGTATTGGGACTGTATTTTGTTGTATAGAGAGGGAAATGGTGTGAACAACATGTAACTTAGTACATGGCTACATTTACAAAAATCAGCTTCGTCTTCGTCTTCTTCTTCTTCTTCTTCTTCTTTTATTAGTCTTTTATTTATCCAGGTAAAACATCTCACTGAGATAAAAAATCTAATTTCCAAGAGAGACCTGGCATCATGGCCACATAAGTCAAAATACATGTGATGGTTTCTATCCTCTTCGATTCCAGGCCTGTGAAGATGGTGGCCGATTTGAAGGTTTGGACATCAAGGAGCTCGCAGCTCTCACCGCTGACACTGTCATCAGCATTGTCCACAAGAGACTGGCAGACAGACCTGCAGGTACTGCTTCTTACAGTAAATATAGCACAGTAAATTAAGACTTTGGGACTTTCCTCCACCTACTTCTGCTATTTCTGGGTGTCGCTGTTTTTTTTTCAGTCAGTTATTTTGCATATTGAAAATCAAAAGCATACAGTACAGTGTAATGCAGACTGTTCTAAAACATTATGAAAACACAGAAAGAGGTTACCACTTTTCTGGTTTTATATTTCTATTTCTCTGTCTCTCTCCCGTCTTACTCTCTGTTCCAACTGTTGCCCGTTGTTTATGAAACTGTATATTTCTTTAGATAAGAAAGAGAAAGTTATTTGAGGAAGTAAATGCTTCTTCTTTTTGACACGTGATTTAATTTAGAAAAAGGCCAGCATGGTCCCTGTAGTAGCTTATTAGGGATTTACCTCTTCTCAAGTTTAACCTTCATTTCATTTTAAATGAGTTTACTAGAAACTGTTGTGTATTAAATAAATTCAATTTAGTTATACTTTACTGAAACACTTCTAACTTAAAAAAAATCTGTTTGTTAATTTGGATTTATAATTATGGCAGCTAAGCACATGGTAAAGAACTAAATTGAGCAAAACCGCCGTATTTAACTGTTTTTGAGTTGCATTAATGCCTTCAGATTGTCACAATAAATCTGTTTAATTTGTTTGTTTTTAATCTCTCAGAGGAGGCCCGTGAAAAGGTGGTGCAGTTCTTCAAGAGGCCAGATAATGACACAAATCATGAAATGGAAGAAAGTTTAGGATGGCTGCTGTTAAAGTCTCTCTTGCTGCTTACAGCTGACAGCTCAGTGAGTCATTAACAGTTTTAAAGCATAGTAAAGTTTCAGTCGGGTTGCTACTCCATATTTTTAGTTGATCAGGTGAATTAATTATGTGTTTGTTTTCAGGATATACTGTCATGTATAAATCAAGAACTCCCTGGTGCTTTGATGAAATGTCTGTACCTTCTAGTGTGCCTTCCATCTAAAAAGGAGAGCATCAAAATAGAAGAAACCTTTCAGGAAACATTAACACAGGTTAGTAACAACTGACTTCTCCCTTTAGATGGCAATGGGTTATTTTTGTTTCTGTGATTTTGGTTTTCTGTTGTGCAAACTCACATTTTCTTCTTTCCCCAATTTTTGACAAACCATACTTCTCTCGTCTTTCTCTTTTAGGTTATTCTTCAGCTGTGTAGGCTGCCAGTCAACGTGGAGATACTGGTAGAGACTCAGGAACTGCAGTGTCTTATTATTGGTCTCACGTCATTATGGGATCAGACCAGTGCCACCTGGAGGTATCAAGCCTCCCGCATCCTCAAAGCAGTCTCTGCTGTAGCAACAAGCAACACTGTCCCCAGCTTACTAGGTAAGATAAAACACAAATATTTGCAGTAATTAACATTTTTGTAGCAAGTATAGTCTTCTTACTGATTTGCTTCTTACTTGTAATAGGCCTCATTGCACTCTTAAATATTGTGTCAAAACAGGATACATAGTAGCATGAGTGGGAAGTGATTTGTGCAGTAATGAATTAATTATAGCAAGAAACATGATCTAACATCTCAACAGAGTTGTACTGAAAGTCACATGAAGCCTTAATAAGCACAAATAATTCATTCGAATGTTCTAGTGCACATGGGTTTACTCAATTTATTTTGGATACCAAGATGCTATCAACACTTTTCCATGTGGTATTTTGGTCAATTGACTCTGTGCCACTTTGCTGTGGAATTAACATTCTACTGCAGTTTGTGGAACTTTGCACTAAGAAAAACATTTTATTAAGTCACTATTCAAGACTGCTATAAAGATGTATGGTTGAAAAAAATTGTTTGATTCAACTGTAAACTTTTATGCAAATGGATGTTGTTGTCAATTCGCTAACCAAGAACACTGCTTTTCTTATTAGGCAAGAACTGTGTTCGCATCTGCATCCAGAACCTCTTGCACATCACTGGTGATGTCTCAGGATCACTGCTAGCTGAGGTGGCTGTGGCTGTGTTTAGCTTCATTAGAGACACCTATCACCTCAGTCCAGCCCTGTTCATCGAGTTTGACACAAACAATGGTTACAAGGCCCTCGAGAATATCCTGAAACGGTGAGAATAAAGGTCGCTGACACAAAAAACAATGAAACAGAAGCTGAAGTTAATGATACTCAATTAAAAACATATTAAGCAGACATACTTATCTAAAGACAATTAAATATGTTAAAAGAATTGTATTGTTGTTTTGTTGGTCTTTGTAAGCAAGGAGATGCACATTAGTGAAAGTTAAGTGGAATTTATTAGGATACAACCACTTCAAGTAATGAAATGTTTCATATAAAATCAATTTGGTTGGCCAGCACAGAGGAAGCTTTATTTATCTTTAGTAAAGAGCTTATCTTTAAATATTTATTTCTACTCATCATTTCTTATCTTTGTTGTCTCCTATTGTTATAAAATCATTAGCTGTGAGGAGGGCGTGTCCTTAGAGCAGTTTCAGCCTGTGGAGGAGTTACTGGCTCTCATTGGGTCTTTCACTCTTCTTGGAAAAACTGAACTGAAAGTGGCTCTTTGTGTCACCAACCCCCAACCTTCAGGCTTTAAATTTGACCCTCCACTCACTAAAGGTAGGCCAAGCCTTCATAATAAGCTCTCTATTGTTATTCTCAGGACACCTGTCACTAATTATCACTTAAGAGCTGATTGTACCTTGAGGATAAACTCTGTATTTGGAAGAGATGCTTCATATTCCAAACCATCTAATTAATATCAGTTGCATGGCTCAGCAAAGACAGAATCAGATTTCCCTCCCAGAAGAACCACACAGGTCATCCCTCCTTTGCACTTTTGCCTTTATATAACCCACCCAAACTACACTACCCACTTCCTATGATTTCCCACACATCCTGACTCCCCATACAGCTACCCCCACTGCAGCACACAACGCCCCTCGGGTTAACAGGAAGCTGAGGTGATTATGTCTGGGATGATGAAGTGGAGGCTTCCCCTCTAACTCTGTTAGGATGCCCCACATCCATTCACCACTGGCCTACAGCAACCAGTCATCTATCATGGATGCACACACATCTCTATCAACACTCATAAATAGAGTGTCCATAACAAACACATACATATCATCCCAGCGTACACACAGACACGCACTCAACACCCATCTATCACATCAAGGAGTAGATCTGTTTCCAGCAGAGGGACCAGGGACTGTTTTATGCTGACCTTATTTGGTTTTGATGCAATTTTGTGTAATCGAGAAAATGAATCCTATTACTAACCAGCCTTTTATTTATTCATGACAAACACAAGTGTGTTTTGGCACCTAAATGTAAGGCCTCCTCTTAATATTTTGACAGTACAGTAAACAAACTCTATCAAGGTAGATCATGCTACTTTTCTTTTGCACTTATGCATGCGACACTATCAAATCTTTGCTTGTATAACTCAATAGGTTTGTGAGATTGAACATGTGCTCTGTTGTTTATGTCTTTGTTTTCCTATGACATTCACATTGTGATGCCAGGAATTTGCACGGATAATTCAGGTTTTAAATTCAAAACATCTTTTAGCTAAATTGACCTCAAACTGATATTGTTTCACATTACTCTGTGTCATAAAGTAGTATAAGAGTGCATTCCCTACCCATTCATATAGAACATATTTTCTCAAATCTGATCAGATCTAAAAGCAAAAATCTTATTTTGAGAAGTGTTCTAGTCTTTGGACACATTTTAGTTTCCATACTCGTGTCTCCAGGTTTGGCGGTGAAGAACCTTCGTGCCTTCCACTTGCTGCAGGCCTCCTTGATGCATTCTGAGGATTCTCTGCTTGCCTGCCAGCTTCTTCGAACCTTACAGACAATATGGGAGAGAGACCCAGCCAATTTCTTCCTCTTGGAGTGGACTGTTCAGTCAGTGGCCCAGCTGGCTACTTGTGTGTGGCGTAAACCAGCTCCCGTCCAGAAACTCTTCTTTTCCCTTGTAGAGATGGTATGATTTCTGATATTGACAGTAAAATACATATGCATCCTTTGTCATCAATGCAACAAGCATACAGGGCCTGATTAAATATCTTTTATTTATTTATATTTTATTTGAAACAGGTGATATTTAAATTGAACTACATCCCCCATGAGACTTTGCGTGCGCTGTTGAATGTGTTGAAGCAGAGCTGGGCTGGGACTCTGGCCGGTG